GAATATATATATGTATAATATATATATATATATATATATATATATATATATATATAATATAATATAATATAAAATATAAAATATAATATAATTATTATTTTTTTATTCTCATATTTTTGGGATATAAAAATATAATAATATTTGATAATTATAAAATTTATTATTTTAAAAATTTTTAAAATAAAAAAAAAATATAAATATAGTTCCTTAGAGTTATTTAAAAAATAATAAAGTTAAAGATTCAAGTATAATTGCATAAAAATTTGATAATTCTTAATTATTGTTTCGTGAACAAATATTTAAAATTTTAGATGATACTTAAGTATTAAAAAATGAAAAATCATGTATTGATGCCTGCAAAGCAAGTCTTTAAGCTCGTTTTAATAGTTGTGATTTATTAGATTAATTAAGTGCTTTAAGAATAAATGAAAGTTAAAAAATTAGCAAAAAAATGATAAATTAAAACTTAAATATATCCTAAAATTATCAAAAAATTTCTTAACAACTAAAATATTCTCAACATAATACTGATCAAACATTATTAGAATAAAATTCAGAAAAAGCTGTTATTCGAAGTGCTAAAAGTTTTATTCTTTAGAATGATAATTCTATAAATATTACAACTAATAAAATTAAAAATAATAATTTGTATACAAATAATATATCAGGTATTGATAAAAAAAGTGATTTCGAAATAAATACGCCATAAATTAGTATAAATGTTTAATTAGAAAATACTAATAATAAATCAAATTTAAGTTTAGAAAAAATAAAAGTAAATGTTTAGTAGAAAATGAAACTTCAATTCGGAAAAGAGATGAAAAAATAAATAAATTAAGGCAATTTAAATAAAATTATTAAAAATAAAATTCTTAAAATACTACTAAAGAACATAATAAACAAAAAATTAAAATAAATATAATATAAATAATAAAAATTAAATTGAAAATAATAATATTAAAAATAGCAGTAAAATGTAAAATAATATTAATGTAGATGATTATACAAATAATAGTTCAAATTTATGTATTAATTCTAGTGAGAATAGAGTATCTAAATAAATAATAATAATAATAATAATAATAATAATAATAATAATAATAATAATAATAATAATAATAATAATAATAAAGATCTATGTGATAACACTCATTTTTCTTTAAGTTAACATATTCTATAAGAAATATATGCTCTTAATTAATGTAATAAAAATTCAGAGCAATTAATAATAAATAATAAATCAAATATTTTTAATATAAAATAAAATTATTAAAATTAAGATTTTTTCAGCATTAAGTAAATGTAATTTAATGCTTAAAAAAGCTATATAAATTAATAAGATTAATTATTATAATAGACTTTGGAATAAAAAAAAGTTTATGATATGCCATTATAATAAAAATAATTTTATGATGTTTCATTATTAAAAAATAATGAATAATAATAATAATAAATATAATAAAATTTAATTTAATTAAAATAATAGGAGTTTTATTAATAATAATTTAATTAAAGCTAAAATAACAAATCTGATTAAAATTTTAAAGAAATATTGTTAGATTATAATAAGGAAAATAATGAAGAATAATAATCTATATAATCAGCTTTTAATGAAAAAATGCTTAATAACATAAAAGCTCAAGATTTTTAGAAAAATATTTAATATAATTTTGAAAATTAATCTTAATAAAATATTTGTTCAGTTAAAGAATTATAATGTATAAATGAAAAGAGGAAAAAATTAATATTTTAATCAAATAACTATCCTAAAAGTAGTAACGTTTCGATGTTTTTATGAAAAAATATTAAAATAATTATTTATATATAATAATTTATATTTATAAAATTTTAAAAATAAAACTCTAAAAATAATAATTTAATACAAGAAAATATATATAAAATAAATAAAAAATATATATTAGAATATATGTAATTTATAATATAAATTTATATGATTCTAATATTTACAAAAAAAAAAAATCAATTTTTTTTTTATGTAGATTATTTTTTAGTTTTTTAAGTCGATTTTTTCTTTCCATTTACTTAAACTATTTCTTCATTATCATCTTCTTTATTTTAAACTTTTTTACTTTTTACAATTTTAATTGATTTTTGTTTTGTATTCTTAACCTTAACTTCTTCTTTTTCAACTACTTCTAAGCTTTTTTTAGGAAAGCTTTTTTTTCTTCCTTTACTTTTACCTTCGTTTTTCTCCTCAACAACCGTTAAAAGTAAACTTTCATCAACTTTTAATTCTCCTTAAAAATTATTTACCAAATAGCTCACATGTTATGCTCCTAAGCCGAATTCTCTCGGGATTTCATCCTTAAAGAAATCCCTTGGAATTTTAAAAGGTTTATATTCATCTTCATCTTCTTCTTTTCTATTTCCTAAAACAAAATTAGCTCCAAATCCCCAAGAAAAATACTATCCATCATTCATTTTAACATAGTTATAATTTGGTCCTGACCATATAAACTCTATTTTCCTTAATATTCGCCAAAAGTATCAATTAAGATTGGATTTTTATAATCTTCCTATACTTCTCCATATACTTAATGCGTACTTTTTATATCTCCGATACCTAATTATCCAATATCATTTCTTCCGAATCCAAAAAGAGATCCATCTTCTAACAAAACTACTGAATGAGATTCTCCTCCAGTAATAATTTTTACATTTTTATTTCTGAAAAATTTAATTTCAGTGCATTCAAAAACTACATCTTAATGTTTTTCTTTTGAGAAATCAAGTCCTAATTACCCAAAATTATTCAATCCCCATGCAAAGTAAGCATTTTCTCCTTTTATTATTCTTTTAAGGAATGAATGGCGGCCACCTGTGTATATATCGTCGACCTTAAAAGACGTAATTTTTGCCACTTTTAGTGCCTATTCATATGCATGTCTTGTTTTAGGCATTCTCCCAACTACTCCCATATCTGGGTCACCCCAAGCATAAATCTCGCCGCTTTTTGTAAGTACTAAGGTGTGTTGAGAGCCACTAAGGACTTTTTTTAAAGGCTTATTTTGGAGTTCTTTTTAACCAGTGAGTGCTGGGGTACGAGTTGGAGGGGCTAAGTTTGCTTTTTCCACATTTCTATATGTACCCCATTAGTATATGGAGCCAGTAAGGGAGTTGGCGGCAACAGAGTGACTGTCTCCGGCAGATATTAGGTCTACTTTTTATGGAAGAAGTACTAATTTTGGTTTTTATCACTATCAACATCATCGTTAGTTTCATCGGGACGGCCTAATGCACCGTCGTCGTTTTAGCCAGAAGAGTAGACATTTCCTTCTGAAGAAAGCATTATTATATGCAAGGAACCGCAACATATTTTGATTATATTTATGTTTGGGAGGAAAGAATTTAAGTATGGACGACGGGTTTCGGAACGTTCATCAGGAAGCCAAAATTAGTCCATTTCTGTTGATCCGTAGTTGTAAATTTTTGAGATTCGAGTTTCGGCTTTTTAAGATTCTTGGATTTTTGCGGTTTATAGAGTTTATTCTGTTTTCAAAGTTTATTATTATTAAGAAGAATTATTATCATTATTTTATATACTTTGGATATCATTTTATTGACTTTTTAAGTCTTATTATTAAGATTTTTAAGGGGATTATTTTTAGCTTTAATTTTTAGAATTCTAATGTCCATTTTCAAAGACTTAATCAATTTATTAAGATTAATTTTGTTAATTTTCGGGTTTTGAAAGGTTTTATTCTTAAGTTTCAAACAACATTTTATTTTTATTTTTATTATATATCTTAGTTTTGGTTTTCTTTTTATTTTTTTGTAATATTTTTTATATATATTTTTATTTTTCTCAACCTTTTTTTGCTTTTAAATTTTTATTTTTCAAAATAGAATGTTTAAATTTTTTTTTCCTTATTTTTATTATAACTTCTTATTTAAAATAAAAAAAGCGGAAATAAAATATAATATATATATATATATATATATAATATAATATATATATATATATATATATATATACAAAATAAATACATCAAATTATTTAATTTACTTTCATAAATTATAATATTTATTTTTATAAAATAAATAAAATACAAAAGAAAAAAAGACAAAAAAAAAGATACATAAATAAAGCAAACAAAACATGATTTTTAATTTAAAAAAAATATTCTAAAAATAAATTAAAAAAAAATATATAAAGATTTTAATTTTTTTAAACAAATAATATATTTCATTTATCAAAGCATCTCGCTGCTACATATGGATCAACTAAACATTTATCTGCATGTACTTTTAAATGTGGTGCTATTTCTTTTTTAAATACAATAGCTTTCAATAAACATATTTTCTTTGATAGGAAAAGTTTTTCTAGAGTCGTCTCATATTCTTATTCAGTTAATTATTTTCCTTCTTTAATTATATCTTGAATATTCATAAAACTTATATTTTTTTTCTTTTTTTCTTTTAGTTTTTATAATAATTAAATAAATTAATATAATATTTTTTAAAAATAAAAATTAATAAATATAAAATAAAATAAAACCCATAATTATGTATTATTAATAAAGTTAATTTTTTAAAGATGAATTTATTATTATATATAACTTATGATACATGCCACAAAGGATTTTTGTCTTACATAGGCATTCCTTTGCCATTTCGTAAGGAAAGTAATTGTGTACTCTAGGAAACAAATTTTGAAAAAAAAATGTAAAATTTGTGCCAATTGTATTCAACAGATTTTTTATTTTAATTTAAAAAACAAATATATACAATAAACTTTTTAGGATTTATTTTTTTTTATAAAAAAAAAATATATATCAATTAATAAATTTTTGTTTAGTTTTCTATTTATTTTCAATTAAATAAAATAAAATTATGTTTAAATTTGTAACTTTAGTATATACTATTATTTTTATAAAATAAGTATTTGAATAATTTATTAAATTTTTATAAATTACTAAAAATTAATTTTTACATAAATTTATGTATTTTATTTAAAAATTTAGTTTATACAAATGAAATAGTATTTTTGTTTAAAAGAAAATTATTAAAATAGTAAAGTTATTTTTAATATTTAAAATAAATTAATTATGAATTCATAAGATAAAACAAATAATTTACAATATTCTGAAAATAAATAAAACATAAAATATTAACAATAAATAAAGGCTAATGATAAAGCTCCTTTCAGTTTAGAAATGGAAAAACAAAAGGTTTTAAAAGAAAGAGATTAATTGATAAATGAATTTGTTTAAAATTACGTTTATGATGTAAATGGAAATCATTTATAAAACATAAAAGTCAAAAATTATGTAGATGGATCTAAATATGAAGGAGAAGGTAAAGATTTAAAAACCAATAAGAAAATATATAATTAAATATAAATTTAAAAATAATAAATAGTTTTTAATGACAAAAGAAACGGAAAAGGAATATATCATTAGTAATAATCCAACAAAAAATTATTATTAAAATAAAAAAATTAAATATTAAAAAGTGCAAATAAAGATAAATATATAGGAGATTGGAAAGATGATAGGTATTTAATCTTTATTTTTTTTTAAAACAAAATTATAGATTTCATGGGTTAGGTGTTTATATATTTATGAATGGCGAAAGATATGAAGGAGAATTAAGAGGTTTTTTAAATAAATATTAATTAAATACATACTTTTATAAAAAAGATGGTTTAAAACATGGAAAAGGAACTTATAAATATTGCAATGGAAACTAATATAAGGGTGAATGGAAAAATGATCGTAAAAATGGCCATGGTATATATGATTATTTTAGTACATAGGAAAAATATGATGGATAATGGTTAGATGGTGAAAAGCACGGTTATGGAATTTATACATATGCATATGGAGATATCTATGAAGGAAATTGGAAAAACGGAGAAAAAAGTGGAAAAGGAACTTTATAATATGCATCAGGAGCTATATATGAGGGATAATGGTTGAATGATAAAGCACATGGATAAGGGGTATTTATTTATTTATTTTATATTTATAATTTATAAATTAAAAAGATTTTTACATTTTAAAATAGAGATGTTTATGAAGGTGATTGGTTTAAAGGATAAAAAGAAGGAATTGGTAAAATAAATTATACAGATGGATCTTCTTATGAAGGTATATTCTTAAAAAAAAAAAAATTACAAAAAATTATCTATTTTATTATAAAAAAAAAATATATTTTTTTGCTTTTTTTAAATATTGAAAAGGTTAATGGAAAGATGATTAAGTTTCTGGTGAAGGTATTTATTATTTTCCAAATGGAGATAGGTATGAAGGGGAGTTTTAGAATAGTGAAAGAAATGGAAGAGGAATTTATTATTATACAAGTGGTGATAGGTTTATTTACAACTATTTTTTCAAATCCAAATTTTTTATTTTATTTAAAAAGATTTGAAGGCGAGTGGAGAAATAATCTTAAAAATGGTTAGGGAATCATGATTTTTAGTAATGGGGACACATATGATGGAGAATGGCGTGAAGGGCAAAAAAGTGGAAGAGGAGTTTATAAATTTAATAATGGAGATATTTATGAAGGATATTTAGAGAATGAAAAAAGATAAGGAAGGGGAATGTATAAATGGTCAAATAATACGAAAGTAAGAATTTATTTTATTTTTTATATTTAAATTATTTTCTATTTTTTTATTATTATTTTTAAATGTTTTTTTATTAACAAAAAAAGTATAATGGTGAATGGAAAGATGATTTTATGCATGGATAAAGTAATTTTACTTTAGAAGATGGAGCAACAGTTTAGGTTTAATTTTAGTATGATAAATTAGTTATTTTATGAAATAAAAAAATAAAAAATTTAAAACAATATATTATACAAAGAATAAAATAGAGCATTAGAATTTAATTATTTTTAATATAATCTTTATAAAAAATTAAAAATTTTTTTTTATTTTAATTTAAATAAAAATAAATAATAAAAATAATTAATAGTATAAAATATTTATTATAATTTATAGAGTAAAATTATTTTGAATTATAATTTATTAATATATTTTAATATAATTTAACAATAAATATATATTATTTTTGTAATAATAATATAAAAAATAAAAATATTTTTATTTAAATAATATTAATTAATAAAAAACTAATATATATATTTTTTATAAATAAATTATATTATATGTAAATAACTATTTTTAAATATATTATTTAAAAGAAATATTTATTAATTTATATAAAAGATTGAAAAATTATATAAATAAATTTAAAAAGATATTAAGAAAAATAAATTTGAGATTAAATTTATAATATAAATAAATTAAAAAAGTTAATTTAATTTATTAAATAAATATTATCTACTCAAAATATTAAAATATAAATTATTTTATAACTATTAAATAAATAAATATAGCTAAATAAACATATAAATTTATAAGGAAAGAATGATAAAATTATTAAAAAAAAATGATTAAATAAATATATTGTTGTTAATATTTAATCTAAATATGTATGGAATTGATTTTGGGTTTGGGGTTGGGGTTGGGGTTGGGGTTGGGGTTGGGGTTGGGGTTGGGGTTGGGGTTGGGGTTGGGGTTGGGGTTGGGGTTGGGGTTGGGGTTGG